ACGCTTGCCACCTCCTGAACCTCAAAAATAATAAGACCTCTCCAAAAATTAGGCCACGTGCTTATTTTGGGGGTCAAAAGAAAATAAGACCCTGTTGTATTTTCAGTGAAACACGGTACCAGTGCTCCCATTGTGACAAAAGATTTACCATGCACACCAATCTGGCGATACACAAGAGGACTCACAATGGGGGACAACCATATGAGTGTCTGGATTGTGGGAAACTTTTTCTGCATAATTCCAAGCTGGTGATACACCAGAGAACTCACACAGGAGAGAAACCATATCCGTGTCCAGATTGTGGGAAAATGTTCAGTCAGAATTCCTACCTGGTGAGACACCGGAGGACTCACACAGGAGAAAAACCATATGAGTGTCCAGACTGTGGGAAAAGTTTCAGTCGGAATTCCCACCTGGTGGAACATCAGATGACTCACACAGGAGAAAAACCATATCCATGTCCAGATTGTGGGAAATGTTTCCAGCAGAATTCCAAGTTGATGCTACACCAGAGGACTCACACAGGAGAGAAACCATATGAGTGTCCAGACTGTGGGAAATGTTTCAAGGAGAATTCCAAACTTGTGATACACCAGAGGAGTCATACAGGAGAGAAACCGTTTGAGTGTCCCGATTGTGGGAAATGTTTCAGTCAGAATTCCTACCTGGTGATACACCAGAGGATTCATACAGGAGAGATACCATTTGAGTGTGTGGAATGTGGGAAAGTTTTTAGTAGGAATTCTAAACTGCTCATGCACCAAAGGACTCACACGGGAGAGAAATCATTTGAATGTCCTGATTGTGGAAAAGGTTTCAATTGCAATTCTGACCTTGTGGTACACCAGAGGATTCACACAGGAGAAAAACCGTATGAGTGTCTCGAGTGTGGGAAAACTTTCATTCAAAATTCCCACCTTGTGGAACACCGCAAGACTCACACAGGAGAGAAACCATATAAGTGTCCAATTTGTGGGAAAGGTTTCTATCGGAATTCCCATGTGATAGTACACCAGAGGTCTCACTCGGGAGAGAAACCATATGAGTGTCTGTTTTGTGGGAAAGCTTTCAGTCAGAATTCCTATCTGGTTAATCACCAGAGAATTCATACAGGAGAAAAACCATACGAGTGTCCTCAATGTGGAAAAAGATTCAGTCGGAATTCCGACTTGATGATACACTGGAGGACTCACACAGGAGAAAAACCTTATGAGTGTCCAGATTGTGGGAAAGCTTTCAGTATCAGGTCTAGCCTTATAAATCATGTAAGGTTACACACAGGGGAAAAACCGTTCAAGTGTCCAGATTGTGAGAAGTGTTTCACACAAAATTCCTCTCTGATTGCCCACAGGAAATTCCATCTGAAGCAAATGTGTATAGTATGTGTCCCCAAAGGACAGACTAGGGGTAGATCCTTCCATTCAACAGCTTAACTATTACACAT